TCACCATTGAGCTCAAGTGGTGGAATTTGAAAAGCCTAGATTCTGAATTCATTCTGAATCTAGGGGTAAAGACATGATGTATTTGGAAGAATTCACAAGGCCTTTTCTTATTTTTCATCCTGTGCAAACATTTGGAATTCCCTGAATAGAACATTTTATCAGGTCCCAAGCAATAGCTGCCATGGTTACAATCTCGAAGGCATTATTGAGATTGATCATACTACTACAGAAGGTTTATTCCTAAACAGGGTTAATCTGCTGTCTTGTTAATAGTGATATCCTATCACTGAGTAAAGAAGACTCTCTCTCTTCACTTGCTCATGCCTGCTTCCTAATGAGTCAAGCTACTGGGAAATGTACAGTCAATGAAGTTGATGGAATTCAAGCTGGTTAATTCAAGTGGACCAGCACACTGTTGGCAGTGTGATCATTCTGTGGGAAATAAGTTGCGATGCAGAATCTTTATTGGCTTGTTTTTGTTCTGGCGTTTCATCACCATGCTAGGTAAAATCATCAGCGCCGATATTAAGGAAAGTTCATCATGTTGTTTTGCTGCTAACTAACGTCAGCTAGCAACAAAACGGCACGATGAACTCTCCTTAATATCGGTACATTCAGACAATGAAGGCCATCAGCTTAACTGGGACAGGGTAAGCATAGTAGCCCAAGCCAAACACAGACACACACGGGAATTCCTAGGGCTTGGATCTCCACTCATACTTCAATCAACAAACATATAGAATTGGGCCCCATATACAAACCCATACAGATCAAAACAAACCAGCTCGGCGAGCAAGTCAACAATGTCACCCACAAACCGAGCTCAAATCTTCGCTAAAACCTTAAGCAGAATCTTTACTGCAAAAGCATAATTCCAATGGCATTGACTGAATATGGAAAGGGTTGTATAGCTTTACTGCTAACCTAATGTTAAAAACCATGCTCGGGTATTCCTTTTTCCAACCGAGTGACAGACAGCAGTGACTATTCAGCTCAGGAAATCACTTGTATGTTTCAGGCTTCGTAACATTTTGGATTCTTAAGTGTTATGACAGGGTTAATGCTGAGGGGAATTTTCCCCTCATGGGAGAGTCTAGGAGCAGGGAACAGAGACTCAGAATAAAGGGGCACCAATTTCAGACTGAGATGAGGAGGAATTTCTTCTCTGAGGGTTGTGAAGTTTTGGAACTCCTTATCACAGAGAGCTATGGGTGCAGATTCCTTGTGTATATTTAAGACTGAGATCGATAGATTATTGATTAGTTGGGGAATCAAGGATTACAGGGAAAGAGCGGGAAAGTAGCGGTGAGCAGCGTTGGATCAGCCATCATCCTATGGAATGGTGAAGCATGCTCGAGGGACTGAATGGCTTCCTCCTATTCCTATGTTGTATGGTCTTGTGGTCTCAGGACCCAGGCTTGCTTTCCTTCTCTATTGATTATTCTGACAGATCGTTCTGAATTTAAAACAAAGTTTGAGTGTTTTGGTGGAGTGTGCTGGCAAATACATCTCCCATTCATAAATGCACAATTTAAGTGCTGAATCAGAAGTGTATTATCCAGCTGTAGCATGATGTTCTTTTCTGCTTCACCAGTGCAATTCATGTTAATTTCTGTATAATTGCATTGTTGGTATGGAAGGAGTTGATAGACCTGCAGACACTGGAGTCTGGTGTTATCAGTACATGAAACATTACTGCCTTCATTTCTCAGTACCTTCTTCTAATTCTACACAGCACTGCATTGGACATCAGGACATGATGTTCCAAATGTTGGGGACACAGAGAGGGACATGGAGAGGAAGAGGGATAGGGAGGGAGAATGAGGGAGAGGGACAATGACGGAGAGTGAAGGACGGGAACTGTCAGGGAAAGGGAGCTTTGAATGCCTAAAGATTTGTGAGAATTTGCTCAAATTGATAGATAGTGAGGTGGAGGCAAACCTGGATAAATATAGAGATGGACAGAGAAAGAGAAAGAGATAACCTGACAGACTGACCAGAATAATAGACAGCCAAATGAGATCTTGTACAGAAATACCAAAATCTGTGATGTAAATTTGATGGACCAATCAGATCATCACTGAATGGTCGCGCAGACTCGATGGGCTGGATGGCCTACTTTTGCTCCTACATTTTATGGTCTTATAAACGGTCTCCTTCTGCACTGCAGTAATGTTCACAACAAAACAGGTACATTTAGAGGCAATGTTTTTACATCTCTTTTGTGTATCGTCACTTGAAATAATAGACATGAAACAGGCTTTCTGGTGAATTTCAATCAAAAGAAACGATCAACACGATTCACAATCCAGCCTGGAATGTGAATACAATGAGAAAACCACTCTACCGAACGCACAGACACACAAACAAGTAAAGATGAATTCCGGAGTTGAAGCACATACTGAACTAAATAGCAAGAAGCAAATCATGTGTTTTACTTAGCCCTTTGAGATACACGCCTGATGGGTTTGTGTTTTAGTTCTTTTGCTTGTAAAAGTGTTGAATCTTTGCAGGTGAATACAACTTCGCTCCTCTCTGTCATGCAGGCTGGGTTGACTGGTTGAATGAGCTAAGGTGCCTTCCCTCTTGGTAAACAATAATCCCTCTTGTTCCCCATCACTTTCTACTCTTTTAAACTGAACATAAGGCACCCTCGACTCCCTAGCCATGAAATACTCATGCCACTTTCTGGACTGACTGACCCCTAGCGGGTCCTTAGAACAAAAGTTTATGATAACTGAGGTCAGTTTCAATTCTGCAACCACATGGATTAACACCTGTAAAATCTACACCTCTGATTCAAAGTTGTAATGGATTGCGACACAATCGGGGGAATGAATAATCGCTGCTCACATCTGCTTGTGGTTTGTCCACAACTCTGTTCACTTTTAAATTCACTGAGGTTGAGTCTGGGATTACTGGTGAATTTAAATTTTGATAAACACTTTTTACAATAAGAGCTGTAAATTCTACAAGTGGTCTGGCGTTTTGAATTTTTTTTCCCCAAGGGATAGCCATGAAATGACCCAACTTCGTTTACATTTTAACTACGTTCCAGAGACCTGAATTAGTTATTTTTCTCATAGACATCGTAAAAGGTCACTGAGAGATAGTAGGAACTGCCTGTGCTGAAGTCTGAGATTACAAGGTTTGGAGCTGGAGGAACACAGCAGGCCAGGCAGCATCAGAGGAGCAGGAAAGCTGACATTTCAGTCTGGACCCTTTCTGAAGAAGGCTCCTCTGATGCTGCCTGGCCTGCTGTGTTCCTCCAGCTCCACACCTTGTTATGAAAGGTCACTTGACCTTCGGCTGCTATCTTTGCAGCAGCATGTGGTTCACTTTAAAAAGCCATAGTTAATTGGGGACCGCTTTGCAGAACACCTACGCTCGGGTCGCACTAAACAACTGCACCTTCCAGTCGCAAACCATTTCAACTCCTCCTCCTATTCCTCAGATGACATGTCCATCCTGGGCCTCCTGCAGTGCCACAATGATGCTACCTGAAGGTTGCAGGAACAGCAACTCATATTCCGCTTGGGAACCCTGCAGCCCAATGGTATCAATGTGGACTTCACAAGCTTCAAAATCTCCCCTCCCCCTACCGCATCCCA